GAAAAAAAAAAAAAAATATATATATATATATATATATATATATATATATATATATATATATATATATATATATATATATATATTTTTTTTTTTTTTTTTTTTTTTTTAACTGACATTTTATGAATCATTAAGGACCACCATTTTAGTTGTCATCTGTGATGACCAAAGAGGGAGGAAAATAACAGCATTATCCCTTTAAACTCAGTCCTACATCTATCCCATCAACATTGTTAAAACCTTTTGGCTTGATTTGTTTGTTGTTCTTCAGAAAATTTCCGTTGTTTGTGCACACATGAGAAAGGCTTTGGATTCAAGGGCAGCAGCTTCCACAGAATCATCCCTCAATTTATGTGCCAGGGTGGAGATTTCACCAACCACAATGGCACTGGGGGGAAATCCATATATGGACGCAAGTTTGAAGACGAGAACTTTGTCCTGAAGCACACCCATGCAGGTGAGTTTAAGAGAACTGTTATGATTATATTATTGTTCACTGCAACAGTCTATAACTTAGAATAATCAGCAAGTATGATTGTTGATAGTCACCTAAATCTGGTTTTTGACTGTGTGCTCGTAGGTCAGCTTTCGATGGCCAATTCTGGTCCCAATACTAACGGTTCACAGTTCTTCATCACTGTTGATAAGACAGACTGGCTGGATGGCAAACATGTGGTGTTCGGAGAGCTTACAGAGGGCATGGATGTGCTCCGGGCCATGGAGGTGCGTTTCTGACTGGAGAATAGATTTGTAATCAATGATGACAAAAGTTGGTGGTTAGAGGATTTTTAAATGTTTTGTAATTAGTCTCTAATGCTTACCAAGACTACATGTTGTGATTAAACACAAATAATGCATTTATTTTTATGATGGTAAAGCCAGTCTTTAGTGTCGCAAGATCATTCAGAAACCATTTTAATATGCTGATTTGCTGCTTAATAATTTTTCATTAGCTTTGCTGCTTAATATTTTGTGGGAACTGATTCATTTTGAATTTAAAGTCAAAAGAGCACCTTTTATTTGACATTAATTTATTTAAAAAAAAATTATAATCTTAATAATTTTGTAGCATTATAAATATATTTATTGCCAATTCTGATTTGTTGAAACCTTGCTTTTTTGAAAGTTTTAATTGCCTTTTAGGGAATTCTGACACCGTAGCTTGCATTTAATATATTCAAGTTACATTTTGCCCTGTTTCTGATGGCTTTGTATTTGTGCTGTTTTCTCAGGCTCAGGGAACAAAAGATGGCAAACCCAAACAGAAGGTCATCATCTCCAACTGTGGAGAGTATGTTTGAGATCAACATTGTGTGTGTGTGTGTGTGTGTGTGTGTGTGTGTGTGTGTGTGTGTGTGTGTGTGTGTGTGTGTGTAAGTGTGTAAGTGTGTAAGTGAGAGAATGTAAAGAAAAGCTGTTGACATGTTATTTGTTGTACTTTGTAAATATCTAAATAAATCTTTTTTTAAATACATATCTTTATTTTTGGGCTAAATGGTTGCCATGTTATTCGTTTGTAATTTCAATACTTTTGTTAATTTCTTTTCTTTACAAAACAGTTGTTGAACGGGAAAGTTTATTTTAGTAATATATGAGCAATTCCAGCATTTTGGATGTGACATTTGCAGTAAAAACTCCTAACATAAATTCACAAAGTATGTTAACATTATATTGAAACATCCGTTTATATTTTCCAAAACAACTTACCACAGAGTTATGGGATGAGAAAAATATCAATCTGTAAACATTTTTTTAAACTTTAAAATGAGGAAAATAAGCATGCATTATGATTGTGACCAAAATAACTATGAGTTTACAGTACACAATATACTTTGTAGAAATTCCATGACTTAATCTGCACAACCCAAAAGAAATAATGCTAATCAAAAGGATGAGTCGGCTCTTTATAAAACAAAAATGACTTTATTTTAATTTAATTTATTTGACATTTTTGCTTTTACGAGGAAAACGCTTCGTTATGAATGTGACGTGAAATTGACACTTGTGTGATTTCGGTAAAGCCTACACACAAAGTAATAAACCATTTAATTAATCAATTTAATAAATAATTAAACATACATTTGTTGAATAACAATTGAGCATCAGCTTTTGAAGAGGATCAAAATTGAATGAGTGTTGTTCAATAGTTTTAGGACATCTTTGATGAAATGTTCTGATTCGCGTCATTTGTTGGCTCCTGTAGTTCTCAAGGAAGCTTTACTTAAAGTTGCCATATGAATGCTTTGTTTAAATTGTTTTCTAAAATTTACAAGGTATGTGTCTTATAAATGCAAAATATATCTAGAGAGGCTTAACAAGCCCATTTAGAGCCATATGAATGGTCCCTAGAATTAAAAGCATTTTTACCTTATTTGGAAGGGCTGTGGATATTAAAGAGCTCTGCTTTCATAGTTTAATGCACTCTTAAATAACACGTGCAAAATAATTATACACAAGTTATCAAAAATATTTTAACAAATTGTCAAATGACAATGGTTGAAGTGGAAAAGTTTGACATTGGGAATAAGTTGACCTGTTCATAACTGTTCCAGAGTTGTGCTGCAGATAAAATATGGGCTTAATTATACACAACTAAAGTGTTTCGAAATTAAATAATTGTATGTGTTTGTTGCCTTGTTGTTACTAATGTAACGTTACAATTGTAACTTAGCCTATTCCATAGACAGCCTCATACACGTGTCTGAACAAACGGACAGTTTCACAATATACACTTTAAACTAACAAAAGACAGAATACAACAGACCTTATGCCTCATCCGGGTGGCGCAGAATAACTCCCAATCCGTCTTTCCCGAATTTAGCTTTATGACCACGAGCTGTCACAAACCCAACACAAGATGCTGCAGGTGATGTAGCTAACCGTCCTGTTTTCAGAATAGGAGTCCTACTAACATAGGTGGGAAATATAAGCTGTGTGAACCTTTATAATAAAATAAAACATTTTATTTTAATACCTAACACTCCTGGGTACATGTATATTGATATTAAAGATTCTGCGAGTATCACGGAGTTTTGTTTGAATTGGCCTGTTTTACAACGGGAATTTACCAATGACTGTAAAAAATATTTACACTATGGAACATAATGCATTACTGATTCATCCTCTAGATGGCGGCATTGCTCCAGAAAACCACGTTGGGTGTGACGTGACTTCACAAGTCACGTCACATCCAACAGAGCAGATACAAAAAAGCAAAAGAAAGGCAATTTTATTAAGGTGATTTAATCTTTCCACTGGTATGCTTGTTGTTTTTATGTTAGCATAGTCGATGAGATTAAGGATCTGAGCTTTTAACATGCTGCACGTTTGTTCAGCCTACATAAGGGATTACTTTTCTTTCAGTTCACCTGCATGAGTAAAGCTCTCTAAAAAGTGAAACCAATGAATTGTATGTTCTAATTTCTCAGACTCCTTTTTTGTTCAAAAAAGAAAGAAAAAGTGACAGATAAAATGATGAACGAGGAAAACAAAAGATCTTTTATTGTAAACACATAAACATTAGTTTAACATTAAATAAAATTCTAATCTAAAGAAAGCCATCAAGCCATTTGTTTTAAAGCATAAAAGCTTTATGCACATCAGCAACCAGCAAACAAACACCAACCACTCATATGAGACTGCTTGCCCAGCATCCCAGCGAAACGGCATCTCAATCAATTGAATGTCTGAAGAGTATTTTAGTTATCAGACTTTAAAATAAAAAAAAATATGTCTAAACTAAAACAAAATGTTCCCATTGAAACTGAAAGGGAACCAACCATAGCAAAGTTGAAGGGGATGTACGGGACGGTGCTGCCTGTGTCCAGCTTTGTTAAAAGTGATTAAAGCACATGGGGTTGATTCAAACATATTAAGTAAGCAAAATATTCACATTCAAGTTCAAAATCATACCAACATTCATGCTCATAATCAAATTCCCTTAAGTTTAATTCAACAGAATTACACTAAAGACACTAAAATCCACAACCATTATTCCTTTCCAGAAATGTCTTGGGCAATACTGAATTATATCTTAGTCAGATCTGAATATCACAGGGCGTCTACACACAATGCAACATCCAAGTTACACAATGATGCCTCATTACATGCTATAGACACAATATGAATGGTTTAAATTGTAGTGTCTGCCTCACTTTGATGGGTTCAGCTGAAATTCATTATGTGGATCAAAACGACAACACAAATATTTCTATCTGCAGATAATAAAAATTTGATGTCCACAAAATAAATGTTTCTCAGGGATAGTTCACCCCAAAATTAAACAATTTACCCGCCACTCGCTATTTCAGAGTTGCTGAACATGTTTGATTTGATTTCTTCTGTTAAACACAAAAGAAGATGTTTTGAGGAATGTTGCAAATCGGTCACCAGTGGCTGACATAGTAGGAAAAAACAAATACTATGTAAGTCAATGGCTACTGGTTTCCATCATTCATCAAAATATCTTCTTTAGTGTTCAATATAAGACACACAAACTGATTTGTGATGAGATAATAGTGAGCACATGATAGAATTTGAATTTTTGGGTGAGCTATCCCTTTAACTGTAGACCACAGCATGTTAAATTCTGAATCATGGATGATTAATAAATATTGCGTACAATGTATTGCTTATGAGAATGTAATTTAACATGAGAATGTTTGCGAAATCTTTTATCTTTGGCAATGATTAGTATATTAAGAACAGACACTGTTTTTGCCTTCCGGACTCTTCCTTATAAAAGTGCAAAATCTGTAAAGGAGAAGCACTGATTCAATTTGATACCTTTGTGATCCAGTAAAATCCAAGTAGCAGCAGTTACTGAAGTGCTTTGTGCTCTTAATGTTTCCCTAATGCTTTTCCAATGTTAGTAAAGGTTATGGCTTCTTCTTTAGCTGCTTAAAGACACTTGTTTATCAACTCCAGCAATATGAAAGTTCTAGGATTGAGAGCTTTTTATGCAGTTCAAAAATGCATTTCATATCTACTTCAAAATCTATTTGCATAGAATCTGTTGCTAGGAAACAGGTTGGCTATTACATCATGTGCTTCAGTTGTTCATTTGTGCTCTTCATTGCCGTTTCAAGGCTAATGCACTTGGCACCGACAGACGTTTACCAATGACAGCAAAGAAAAAATTTTTTTCGGTTAAGTCGACTCATAGACTATTTTCACAAGATGGTGATGACATCAACTGTCATTAGCATCTTAAAAGTTTTCATATTTTGATGTTTACTAAAACATACTTTTATAAAGCTATAGATTACTTTGTATTATATCATTTTTGCATCAAATTACAAAAAAAAAAAAAAAAAAAAAAATTGTTAACACTTATGCCAGATGTTTCTAATGCAGCGTCTATGGGCAGGACAATAAATTGGACATTGTTCTCTCTTTTTCTCTTCAACTTTACCATTTTGTAGTAAAAGTCATGAAAAATATTATAAAGTTATTCTTTTCTTATCTGAGGAAATTGTAACTAACGCTGCTGAGAAACTCAGATATGTGTTGTGTCTGTTTGAGTTGGTTAGTATTCATGTTCAGGCAGGGGCGGACTTAGTGATTTGGGGGCCCTAAGCAATTCCATGTATGGGGCCCTAGCATTTAAACTCAAAACATTGCCTTTCTCTATAGATATTTTCTTTCTCTGTAGATTTTCTTTTGTAAATAAACTGTATGTTAAAAGGTATTTAAATAAACATATGTAAAAAGTATATACAATATTTAAAGTATGTTTTATATATTTTAATATTTAAATGAACCTTCATCCTAATGTAAATCTAAATGCAATAAGTTCACAAACTATGTACAGTAAATTAGCCATTTATGGGATTTAATTTTAATTAAAAAAAAAAACATTTAAACAAATTTAATTCACAATCAATCAAACTGATATTGTCATAATTTTTCATATGAATTGAATAATTGCTGTTTGTGAATCGGTGGCCATTTCACTGGAAACAGGCCCTCCATCTCTTAACAAGCTCACAGCACTCATCATCTGATCTGACAGGGGTTGTGGCCAGAAAGCAGGATCGCTGGGGTAGCGTCGTTTCATAGTTTGTCTTTATTTTTACATTTTTCCCACCAAATTTTATCAAAACTCTCACTCTCTACCTCTGCTCTACTCTGATCGCTGACAGACTGCCAGTGTCTGAAGCGCCCACACCTCGCGCATGTGCCGAAAGAAAAGAACGGTCTACTATTCATGTGTGCCACGTGTTTTGAAAATAAGTTATAATGATAAAAACCTTACACACCATATTTACAACCTATGTAAAAAACAAGCTATATAATTAATATAGGCTTTTTGGCATTGGGTGGGCATCCCTAATTCCTTAGCTCCCCTTACCTCACTAACTGGTCAAGTCCGCCCCTGTGTTCAGCAACTGAACCTGTTTAGTCATAATTTGTGGAGTTGTGACTAAGACCATTGGTCAACGTCTATCAGTTCAGTGTCTACCCTGAATAGAAGCTTGTTTTTTTTGCAAATTCCAGTGGCAAAATTCAACCTAAATTACTATTTGATACAAAGTGCACAAAACAAATGAAAGAAGTGACAGATGATCCATAAATGTACAACTTTTTTCATCTCCCAAAGATGGATAGTGAAGCTGTAATTTTAAGGCGCCGAATATTTGTTTTTCTTACCATGCAAAGAAACACATTCCAGTTTCAAGCACTATGTGCTGGCTCCTTGAACTTCTCTGGAGATAATGTTTAATCTATAAATATTGACCAGGCATTCTCTTTCTCCGCGTCTGGAGTGACACCAAAGGGTCATACGTGGGGATGAAATATCCCACTCATGCAATTCTCCCACCTCTGTCCGGCAAGCTGAGAATGAATGGGAATAAGATCCCTTTGGCCTCCACAGGTGCTTTCAGAATCTCATCTTTGAATCGACCTCCATCGTCTTCTACAACAAACTCAAGAGTCTGAGTCTTATTTACACAGAAGATGCAGTTATCAATAACGGCACATCGAAATGGCAGAGTGCAGCCCTGCTGCTGGGAGGCACAGTCATGCCACATCTTCACAATGGTGTTGTATTTAAAGACGCTGATCCCCTGCTCTCGATTAACATCAAATCTGTAAATGAAGCTCTTGAGAGCCACCATGTCTGTGGATTTTTTCCTGCTGTTGTTATACGGACACTCCTGCCATTCGTCCCTCTTAGGGTCATATTTTAGCAACCGATAGAACAGAGATCCTCCAGAGACATACAGCTCGCCGTTACATGTAGTGGCTTCGTGAGCCACAGCGAATGCTCCTTTAGGTAGAGGAGCCACCGCCGTCCAGCGGTCCATTCGAGGGTCGTACTTCTCCACTGTGAAAAGACATTCACCGCCAATGGCGTACAGGGTCCCATCCATGGAGACGAGTTTGAGTTGTGATCGGGCTTGGTTCATGGGTCTAACTTCACTCCAGCGGTCTGTGACAGGATTATAGCAGTAAACCCTGTCTGAGACTTTGCTTTTCTCCCCAGTCCCCCTGATCCCACCGGCCACAAACAAGTAGTTGTACATAGTGCAGATCCCACAGCCCTTGGTGTTGATGTCATCAGGCATGACAGTCAAAGTGTGCCAGTCCTTACTGCTCTTGTTGTAGTAGTAGATCATGTGATTGTCCTCAAAAGAGGTGATGGAGAGGGGACTCTGGGGACGGCTGCTGTTTCTGCTGGGCGGTCGGCTTCCTACACGCTCAAACACGTCATTAATTTCTGCCACCATCAGACACTTGCGGCTTTCCATCCGTTTGCGCAGGATGAGGTCTCTCTCTGAACCCGTGAGGCGTCCATAGACAGCTGGATCTTTCAGAACCTGCAGAAAGTTGTCACTCATGAATCGATAGGCGGTTTCTTTCAGTTCATTTAATCGTTGCTTTTTAGCGATCGTTAGGATTTCGTAGCAGTTCTCAGGTGTGATCTGTGTGGAAATGGTATCAATAGCAGCCTGCACCGCACAGGGCATCTGCAGGATCTTCGCCCCTGTGATGACATCCACGATATTGTCTTTGCTCACATTCATCTGCGAAGAGTAAACATAATCTACAAGCACTGATAAGGTCTTGTAGCTCATTCCTTTTACTTTGAGGATGTCTCGAGAAAGCCTGGCCTTAAAGTAATCGCTCTTTTCAGCTAATACTGATTTGTGTGCTTGTATTTTCTGTCCGCCCACCTCTATGACTAAATTTGGCTCCTCTTTTGCAGAGAGAGCTTCTCTTACTGCAGATCCACTTTGCTTCAGCCCTTCCATCCCGGTCTGTCCAAATGACGTTCTGTAGCTGGTCTGACTGGCTCCTTCAGAGGAATTTATAAAGCTTCCTAAGGTTCTCTCAAGTGACCTCGTTTCCTGGGTACCTGAGTAGGAATGATTTCTGTTCTCTGATGTGGAAGAGACATTTTTAATGTCAAACTGACTCCGAACAATCTCACTGTCTCTCAGGACATTGGACAGTTTGTCAGTTTCCTCCTTGTTTTCTGGCCTGAAGCATAGAGAGGGTGCTAAACTGCAAGCAACCTTTGTTCCGTTTGTGTCTTCTCTAATGTTCTTTTGACTTGAAGCTTCACCCGTATTTCTTAAACTGATGTCCAGAGTCTGAATGTGCTCTTGAAATCCACTGTCACTAGAGACAGCATCTTGTGCATATTCTGCACCTATTACAGTACCATAGTGTCCCAAACTTCTATTGTCAGTCAGATCTCCCGCTTCTGACGTATCCCATGTTCCCTGGAGACCCTGCAGTATTTCCATGCTGGGGACGCCAGTTTTCCCAATAGCTGAGACATTGTTGTTGTTCCCTTCAGTAGGGATCTGGGGTTCTGGAGATTCTGGGTTTGCGGCGTGAAATATAACATCTGCTTGAACAGTGAACATGCTTCTGTCTTGCAGAGTGTTGTTCATCCTTCTGTATTTTATTCAATTCACCTTATGTCATTTAGTGCTTTTAGAGCAATAATGATTTGCCAGAAGTTGTTTCTTCTTTGCAACTGTAGAGCTAAATTAATCCCACAGGGATGACTGGCAGATCCTAATTATTGTGGTAATGATCTTTCAAAGACAGCATAGCAAGGACAAATTTGCTGTACTTTCTATTTGGGCACATTCATCCGCATAAGCAAGAAAAGCTTTCTTTTTTCAGGGAAGACCCTGTTTGCTCAGTTCTGGGTCCAAACCTTAAAAAAAAAAGACATTGTTGTTTATTCACATGTCCTGAAATGGTACACTTCAAACAAACTACCTTGTATTACAAATGATTAAAAGTAAAACGCACATTTTAACATACTTATAATAAATAAATTAATTTTATTTATTCAGACAAGGTAAATAATCTGTTCGCTGCAATGACAGTAACAATATACAGTATCATGAGTATGACACTGTTTAAATACTCTCACAATCAACACATTAAAGACAGGATACTGCGCATGCGCACTACTGCCAAATCTACTGACAGATTTAGGGATTAAATCTTACAGACAAAAACCACAGTGATTCTTTCGTTGTATCTGTAAATGTTCTGACATTGTCATTAAGTGAACATTTAACAAAAACACCAATAATTGTAGTATAGACAGTAAGGCACGTTATTGATAACAATGCGAACAAGATGACATCGTTTTAGGCAAGAAACGTTATAACGTCTCCGAAATAAAAATATTTAACATAATACACCTCAATGAATCAATAAATCTCAGTACTTACGCATTAAATTGCAAAATGTCTTCGAGCAGTTCCTTGCACAAAGCGCTCTTATGCAAGTCAACGACTGTAGATTTAAATACACGGCGCTGCAGGGAGTCTATGAGACTGTCTTGAGGTTATCCTTATGTAGACCACTTAACCATTCACGTACGTACTACACATCCCATGCTGTAATAGAAGGGCAGTTCAGCGAGAACTTCTCTTCCTCCTCCTCATCCTCGACCAACTGTATGCGTCTGAAAGCCTCGACTGGAGAATCCTCGTCCACTAAATATCATTCTCTCAGTGGAGCAGATGAAGCCAAATATATTCCACAAAGGCGACCCCGTCTCTGATCGACGCCGCCTCTTCGCCCTCAGTGTGCTTTGCAGTATTTTGTATTTTATTGTAAGCTGAGGTGAGGCATTGATCTTAACCACACCCCCGTGTGTGTTGTTCACCCTCTCCCTCTCTCTGTCCACACATCAGCTGCTGTGTGTGCTGATTAAATCCGTGGTGAGCGCGCGACGTTCCTGCACACCCGACGAGAGCGCGGCCAAATGAAGGATGTTGCGCAACGGCTGACGGGAACTCCCAGCGCAGCGTTCACACCACTTCAGCCTTTGTTGCACTAAAATGCTACACGTTGTGCTGATGCATCAGACATTTTAAAGAGAATTCTCATACGATACATTTTACTGATTTAGGAAATCACTAATAGGTTTACTGTCCTATTTCATAATAGAAAATAGGATAGTATTAGTGATTTTCTAAATCAGTTACTTGGTAAATCAGTCAAGAACAGGCTTATATTGTAGCTATATATATTTTAAACCACTTTTAGTATATATATTTTTTAAATTACATGAATAGTCTACTACATTAAAGTTATACAGGCTAGTTTTGTTTATTGTGGAATTTTATGGCAATAATTCATTTATGAACTTTTAACAAGTCTTTTCAGCAAAATAAATAAAAGTCAACTTGTTTTTGTTGAATGGTTTTGTTAAGTCAGGGGTGCCCAATGTAGGGCCTGTGGTAATGTTGATCCTTAGGCTCGCCATCCCTTCTGAAAAGAGGGAGAATGATGGGGAGTTGGTTGGGGCAAATGTCTTTGACAGACATCGTCATTTAGAATTTAATGTGTACCCTTTTGTTTCTTTGTTTAATTGAGGAACTAAAGCCAACTAAAATTAAATGTTTCATATGAATCAGACTTTTAAAATGTAAATACTGTCAATTAACAGATAGAGGACAGTACACAAGACATCAATGAGCAAATCAATGCAAAGGCAGCAGCAGCTCGACTAATGTATTCAGTATTGAGCTCCATTGTGTTATAAATGGAATTATAATATATATACTATTATAAGTTAATTACAAAATGGCAACATTATAAAGAATCATTTAATATGTTTGAAAACACTTTACAGGTTATTTTTAAATAATAAGCAAGCAAATGAGCAAACTTTAATGTAATACGGTTTGATATATTTAACTTTGACCCTCAATCAAGTTTGGTTTTTGGCCCTTTATAAGAAAAAGACTGGGCTCCCTGGGTTAAGTCTATTTTTATGGCGAGAAACAATTGGCAAAACATGCTTGTTTTATATGTAGCCTACAAGCTAGATTTGAGATGACCCAAAATATATTTCATACTTTACAAATTTTCTTTTGTAACGAGTTTGTGTCTAGACCAGTGGTGCCCAAACTTTTATTTATGAAGGGCCAAAAACCAAACTTGATTGAGGCTTGTGGGCCGAAAGTAAATATATTTTCCATGGGTAATTTCCTAATTTATAATGTTAAAAATGACTCGAAAACATTGCTTTATGTTTACTAATACAGTTTTTACATTTTCTAATGAACTTATTACAATAAAAACAATCTCAACAGAATTACACTAGCTCGCCGATGTCTTGAAAGTAGTGTTGAGCGGCAGTTTTACATTTTCAAAAATCTGATTTATTTACAACATTTAATTGAAACATTTAAATTCAGCTCACTTATTTTGTAGCTCAGCAATAAAACAAACAAAAAAGGTTACGTCCAATTACAAATGCTGACCTCTGTGTTAAAAGCAATCGCCAAAATGAATGGGCCAAATCAAACGTTACAATGGACCAATCTTGGGCATCTCTGCTGTAGACTTTTATAATTGTTTTTAAAGGATGTTTTCTCAAAATGAGCACTCAGCCACACTTATATATGCAACTTAAAAAAAAAAAAATCTGTGTACTAAAAAGAAAAAAATTTTTTTTTGTTTGTTAGTAACTGACATTAATATGTGAAAAATGATGTTATCCAATGTAAAATGTACAATGTAAATCCTCAATTACATATTTAAACAATAGTTAAAAAACTTGTTTTACATGACATAGTTTATTAATTATTTGTAATTATACTAATTAGTACAAGTTTTTAACTATCGTTTAAATATGTAAATGAGGATTTACATTGTACATTTTACAATCAAATGCAGAAGCATGGTAATAACTAAAGAGTTCAGATGCAAAATTTATAAATGGCAGCTAAAATGTTCTCCTAAAACCAGTGTTTTTCTCAGCCTCCTATGTTTAGGGTCAAGTATTTCACTTTAAAGGCAATGAAAAGAACTTGTTCATCAATATAAAAGTAAAAATTCCAAGCCTACACAAAAGAGTCTGATAAAAATGCAAATTTTAGATGAATATATGGAACAGCTTTTAGAGTTTTTTGCATCTAAATTCTAAATGATCTAAACTAATATTTTTTTTATCCTGTTAACAAGCAGTCTTAAACAGAAACGTTCTAAAACACAAATTTTTACGTTTATCAACCCAAAATGACAAATAATTCACATTCTTAATAAAAAGCTGCAAATATTTGATTATCTGTCATTTAAATTTAACCCCCCAAAAATAAAGCGAGAGAGATACGACTGGGAGAGGGGAAAAAAAAAGAGCAAGGCCTGTAAAAATGGTCAAGAGCCGCATGACTTCATCTGGCCTTCTCAAATGTGGTGAAGTTTTATGAGCGCATTAAGAAAAACCATTACTCTCCATCCTGATATTACGGACTGGACTGCTTCTCAAAACAGTTACTAGAGTAACCCGCTCCATTTCAGAGAGCAACATTAGAGAGTTGAGATCGCCTGACAGCACATGGCCAGACGGAGATGTCACTATTAGCCCTCCAAATACACACATCAGCTGTTCTCGGTCTGAAGGGACTCGCAAAGATCCCTGAGCACACAAAGGCTAAAAGCATCGTATATATTAGACTGGCATTACATGAGGGCGGGAAGGCTTTTTGCAGAAATTGCACCCATCAGTTTATTTGGAAGAGATCTACTGCTTTCATTGCTCATAGTAGCTATTTTAAATATTAGAAGTTTCATCCATTCTTGTTAATGTCAAGCAAAGAATAACAATACATTATATAAAGTTAAAAAAAAACTGCTTTTGCTTTTCTCAATTAAAAATATTATACAAAGAAGTGTTTGATATACTGTTTAAATTCGACGCCAGAATTATAAGCCCTCCTATATTTTTTTTCTTTTTAAAATATTTCCTAAATGATGCTTAACAGAGGCGAGGCAGTGGCGCAGTAGGTAGTGCTGTCGCCTCACAGCAAGAAGGTCGCTGGGTCGAACCTCGGCTCAGTTGGCGTTTCTGTGTGGAGTTTGCATGTTCTCCCTGCCTTCGCGTGGGTTTCCTCCGGGTGCTCCGGTTTCCCCCACAGTCCAAAGACATGCAGTATAGGTGAATTGGGTAGGCTAAATTGTCCGTAGGTGTATGAGTGTGTGTGTGTGTGTGTGTGTGTGTGTGTGTGTGAATGTGTGTGTGGATGTTTCCCAGGGATGGGTTGCGGCCGGAAGGATGGCATGCGCTGCGTAAAAAAACTTGCTGGATAAGTTGGCGGTTCATTCCGCTGTGGCAACCCCGGATTAATAAAGGGACTAAGCCGACAAGAAAATGAATGAATGAATGCTTAACAGAGCAGAATTTTTTTGTAGTATTTTCTATAATATTTTTTTTTTATTCTGGAGAAATCCTTATTTGTTTTATTTTTATGATTGTTTTATTTATTATATTTAAAAGCCATTTTAAAGTCAATATTATTAGCCCCCTTAAGCAATTTTTTTTTCTGACTTTCTACAGAACAAACCATGATTATACAATGAATTGCCTAATTACCACAACTTGCCTACACTGTAAAAATCATTTTAAGGCAACCAGCTTGAGGAAATTTATGAGTTTACTCAACTTAAATAGAGTCAAGTGCAATACCTTGGTTGAAATTTGAGTCAACTCAAAAAAATCTATGCAGCAAGTCTTACAATTTTGAGCTGCCAACTTTTTTTTTTTTTTTACAGTGCAGTAAACCTAATTAACAGAGTTAAATCTCTAAATTGTACTATAAGGTGAGTAGTATTACCTTAAAATATCTAGTAAAATATTATGTACTGTCATCACGGCAAAGATAAAAGAAATCAGTTATTAGAAATACTTAAAAGTCAAGTGCTATTCTGGGGTTTCCGCCTGGATTTTGCTTACCCAAATTTTAAAGCTTCCCAAATCCAAAAGCAAAAAAGTTTTAACCCTTTGAATTTTCAAAAATTCTGTTGAAAGTGATTAAAATAATTGTATATGTTGTCTGTGTTATAATACACTTTTTTTTGTAAACTTAAATTTGAAAGTGTACCTTTTAGGTTCTGTGTGCTCGAGGTTGCTGTAATTAGTTTTGGTGGTTCCTGCACATGTCAGTAATCATAGGAAAAAAGAAAAATGTCTTGATCATAATCTATGCAAAAGTCATTCTATTCCAACCGATGAGAGAACGGAACCACTTATGGGGGTATTGGTCCAGTACAGACTTTAAAAAAAAATTTAAAGAATGTGGAAGTAAATAATATCACAGACCTGGTACCAGGTTCCAGAGTTTAGGAGGGTAAAACTATTATGTTTAGAAATGTCTTGAAAAAAAATCATATTAAATGGAGATTGGGGAAAATAATACAGGGAGGCTAATAATTCAGGAGGACTAATAATTCCGACTTCAACTTTTGTATGTGTGTGTAAAATCCAACCTAAATATCCAATAATTAAGTAATTAACTTCACAGTTAAGGTGTAAATGTTATTTTTTTTAATTTCCCTTTAATGTAGGCGCCTTGCAAAATGAATATTTGAAGACATTTTCACAGAAACACTCATGCTGGGAATACTAAGGGGAAAAACAACAACCTTACATGTTCATTTGTCTAAACAAAGTTGTTTTTCTTTCATTATCTCCATCCCTGCCCAGGTCGGTTTTACAGTAAGCTATAAAGTCAGTGTTACTGTTGGAAAAGTGCATTTCACAGAAATCCATTCAACCTAATTCAGTTTTCTTCATGGGTCATTCCCTTATGCATGAGCTGGCAAGTCAGTCCAACAAAAAGGGGAAAAAGAAATAAAAGGGCCAGTGGAAAACAAAACGAAAACATTGTTATCTAGTACATTTGCACCGACATACAAAAGAATGCTGGTTAAAACAATGATATATATATATATATATATATATATATATATATATATATATATATATATATATATATATATATATATATATATATATATATATATATATATATATATATATATTAATGATTGTGAATATACATTAAAATATAAATATGGTGTAATGCTATTTCTCTTTATCTGGTAACAGTGGACACCAACTTCACTTTAGGACCCAAAAGACACTCTGGCCCGCCAGAGAAACCCATACAAATCATTCAGTCGATCACAGAGGACAAACCTCAGTCAAGCTGCTGAGTCAGCCAATGCAATAACAAGCACCATTC